ATCTGTGGTTCTCTGAATGTGAATGTGTCTCCCTCTCTTTTACACGCAATCCTATCTCTCTTTCTTCGTCTCGCTTTCGTTTGTCTCTGTCTATATCATCTTCTATCTCTATTTCTCTTACTATCTCAAGGGTGCGTGTGTGTGTGCGCGTGCCACGGGAGAAAGTTTGGCAAGAGATGTGTCCGCGAGATAAGCCGACTCACGGGGGATTTAAAATGGCAGTGATAAGCTGTACTCCTCGCTTGTACAGACCTCACGGAGAGGGGAGCAGCTCCTTATTTAGACGGCCTGTTATCAGGTTTCACACGCGGATTCCACGAGTCGCTGTCACATTTGACTATATTCTATATATTTCTCTTTTCTCTTCATAATTTATTATTTGTTCTCATAGACGGCATACTCTCTTCTTTGAAAGAAAGCTCTGCTTCCGTCCAACCTACTTAAAAAAATTATTCATTTTTAATATTATTTATCTCAAATTTTTATTTTAAGATATTAAAATGAATTTTACATTTCTTTGTTTTTCTTATTTGCATTATAAAAAACTCTATCTTTATTTTAATAGTAGAAATAAAGTTTAAATAATTGATAATTGATAATATAATTTAACATATAGTAATAACATTGCATTTTATTGTCAATGTTATCAGTCTTGTTTAAGAAATATCTATAATAATAAATAAATAATATAATCTAATATAAAGTTATTCAATAAAATTAATATTATAAGTATAAAAAATTATGTATTAAATAATTAAAAATACAATGATGTAATTACATTTTATTCAGGTAAAAGATGGAGATTCTTTACCACCAATCATTTGTCATCGATGTGTGTATAAATTGGATGTACTGCACAACTTCCGTGAAGTGTCACACAAATCTGATGTCATACTCAAACAGTACCTGGATTATGCCAAGCAGTTATCATCACATGATGATCAGGTAATCATTAAATATTTTTTTCAAATGCAATGAAAAAAGATATATTAGAATTTGTTGACGTAGGTCATCATACAATATGAATCATATCATTTTCTGGTTAAAGAGCTAGAATTAATTTAACACAGTAACATCAATGAGCAGTCATTTCATTCTAAGTAATGATGCAATTGAAAATGTGCAACATGTGATTGTAGATAAGAATGTGCTTCAATACATGTATATTCCATATATTCTAAACACATGTTTAATACATACAGGATGATATTTATTTGCTTCTCTGCCCTGATATATCAGTAATTATATAAGATACTTCAAGGTTTTTTTTAATGCAGCCAACTTTGACCTTATCAATTTGATAATGATTACAGAATAGAAAAAAAATGCGCATAACTAATTATTTTCTTATGAATATATTCTAAACAGGTACAAGGTACAAATATCAAAATATTATATGTAATCTTTTATGATAAATGAACATTTATACAAACATCAATAAATGTTTATTTCTTAGAATGTTAATAAAAATTAAATTTAATTTTAAATGTAATTTTTTTTCTATTGTGTTACTGATTTATGCTTATTTTCAAAAATTTTATATTTTTTATTTTAAACTTACAATGATTTGTTTTGTTTTAGAAAAAATCTTTCTCCACTGCCAAAGTAGCAGGATTAAGTCCGCTACAATCATTTCTCCAATTGAACAAAACATTGTTCAATGAGGAGCCTAACTCTCCGGCCAGCATTAATCAAAACGTTATACCTCAGACTCAAACACATCATTTGGAATTGTGCACCAATGACATGCCTGAGCATGATAACATTAAGTGTGAACCAGAAGATGATACATGTTCAAATAGTTCTGATCCAGATAGATTAGAAATAGAAGATCGGGATGAGCAAGATACTGAGGGGGAAGAAAATGGTTATGATATGACCATTAATAAGAGAATGAAAGTAGAAACAAATTATGAGGAATCAAAAACAAGTACCCCCAATCGTAGTCCAGTAAATAGAATGGATACACCAGAAAGCAATTGTTCAGACACAAATATTGATCAGGAAACAACAAAATTATGGCAAGCATTAGCAAAGTAAGTACAAAATTTTTTATATATTTCTTTTGCATTTAAAAATTTTGCAAAGAAAATTTATTAAATATAATATTAATAAAGTTAAAATATTAATAAAGTTAAAATAGTTATAATAGTAAAGTTATTAATAGTATTAATAGTCATATATAATTGTTCTTCTATTTGTATTTATTTATACAATTTCAATCTTTAAATAGATTTTTATTATTAATTTATATTATATTTTTATAAAATTAGTCAAATGATTAGTGATATAATTTTATTTATTTAATACATATAAAGCAAATTTTTTAATTATTAAAACAATTTGTTTATAACAAATCATTTCTTCTAAAAATAACAGTTACTTTAAAGATAACAGTATATTTGATTAATTATTAGATTGCTTTTTGTATTTTTATTATTATATGTATATTATTTGAATATAATATTTGTTTTCATTTTTCATGTAGCAATAGGAGTTTAGAGATTACCAGGACAAATGGTGACAAATTAAATAATGGATTCACTGGCGAGGCAACTAATTTGTTGCGTTCTTTAATCAACAATAGGCAAATTGGTATTACTGCAATTGATTCTGACAGAATATCACCACAAATTAGGTTTTACAGAGATACTCAAGGAACAACAATTGAACGCACTATACCCGACTGTTCTCTACTCGGCAACCGTACTAATGTGTCGTGTATAGAAAATAAGGTTTGTATATTTTAAAATAATATTTAAATTGAAATTTTTATCAGTATTTGATGAGATGAGGACGTTTTAAAATATCATTAGGAATTTTTCTGAATTCCCCTTTAAGATTTTCTAAATGTATTTGAGATAAATCACAATTGAATATTAATAAAATATATAATGTTAATATAGAAACAGTAGTAAAAGTTGACTCTTTTTTCGAAGTTGTATCTTCCAAACAAAATTCTGAGATTTATGGAAAAACGGAAAATCTGTACTCTCTTTTATGTTCATACTCCTTTGACTCTGATCTTCGTGCAAATAAAAGTTCTTCCATGGAAAGTCCTTGCAGTTTGTTCAAAGCAAATACCAGAAAAGAACTGCAGGTATAGAAAAGAAGACAGGTCAGGTGACCCTTAGGTGTCAAGGGATCCCTTTGGGACTATTCAAGTCCCATCTGCTTGCAGGTAAGAGAAACGTGGTAGGCCTTGTAGATAATAGATAACTGAGAAGTTCTTTGTGATAGCTATAAGCATTAAGTCCACCATGTCAACCCGCTGTTAACAGATGTTCAGATAAGTTAGGTTTCTATAGATTTTTAAACGCGTATTGTTCCGTGTGAGGAATTCTCCAATTTCTTCTATAATAAAAAATAGGATTTTACTATTCTTTGTACTATTTTTTATTCTGTTAGCTTTTTGTCTTAATAATAGGTATTTACGAAGAATTAGCTCTTCAACAAACTATTTGTTTTTTAAAAGAATTTTTAGCTATTAATATTTTGTAATTGAATAAAAATTACTGTTGAAATAATTACAGAATGAATTTAAATGTAACAATAATAAAGATACAATTTTTTAAATTATTTAGGGTACGTCTGTGGACAGTAATCCGTCTAGCCCTGCCAGTGTTGGTCGAAAGGAAACTAAGGGTCGTAGAAAACAAAGTTATCCTAGCAAAGCTCCCATGAGTCCAGATGTCGTTAATTATCAACATGAATCTAATGAAGAACAAGCACAAGATTTTACAACATGGTCAAATAAAATGAAGGGGAAGGTACGATCGGTGTTACGAAACATATGACGTCAAAATAAAACGTTACGTTTGATTTTGCCATCATAGGTAGAGGACCAAAAACAACAATTTGATCAACATAGTGGTAACATAGCGAAAAAGGTTGATATGTCTTGCACAAATTGCGGCACTATGACTACAACTATTTGGAGAAGAAATATGAAAGGAGAAATGGTTTGTAATGCTTGCGGACTTTATTACAAACTTCATGGAGTAAATCGTCCAGTTACCATGCGAAGGGATACGATACACACGCGTAGACGTAGACCTAAAGGTGAAAAACCAACAAGGCATAGAAGTAAGTTTTCATAATTTAAAAAACATTTAAATATTTTGATTTTTGTTATTTTTACATCATAAAATTAAAATAATTTTTTTTTTTTATTTTTTTTTATTTTTTTTTTTTAGAAAAAGGTGATTCAATTTTGGTACCACAATCGGAACAGATGGATGCAGAAAGTGCAGACATGTTAGCAGCCCTTCGGCGACAAATTCAGCCTCATTTAATGATGGCAGCCTTAACACCACCACGTATACCTGGTGCTCATCCACCAGCTCCTACCGCTCAACTTAATTATTCTCTTCCTTTACCTAGTTACATGATGCATGTAAGTAAAATAGTTTAACAATGTTAATTGATGTTATTTTGTTATTATGAATCTGTAAATAATAACTTTTAATATTCATATATAATAGCATGTGAAAGCAGAAGGACGAGAACAATGTCATTTATCTACGGACATAGAAGAAACAGAAGAAGGAGATGCAGAGAACGTCTCGGATGTACCATTAAACTTAGTTGCGACGTCATTATCCGAAGAAGCACACTGAAATCATTTTGACCAGCTTTAGAACGACGTTGCTATAGGTATATATATACATATATATATATATATATATACATAACAAAGAATCTCTAGACAGAATAGTCTGTCCGGTGATACACAGGGTGTAAAAGACGAGATTATTCTCCTTCTCTTTTCTGCCTCTGTCATCCATGATCCTCTTTTTGGACTCTCCTTTTTTCTCTTTTTCTCTTTTCCACGGTCTTGAGAATTTTGAGATGGTAGAATATTGGGATGTGTATTTATCCCTTGAGCTACCAAGCCCGTGGTGCAGAGCGCACGAAGGAACGATGATATTAAATACGCAGTATTAATTACGTGGTTATTCAAAATATGTACATATATATACACGAATACGAAGAATATTTTTATACAAAATTTTCTACGCTTGCAGCTATAGAGAGCGACGGGCGATCGTTGTACATACACGCGCAAATTGTTCTTTCGGTGTCGCACGTATTTTACGCATTAAAAGGAATGGTGGTCGTTGTCTGTTTTCTTAGTGATGTAAGAAAGTCAATCACCAGTGAAAGTTTTTAGAACGGTGCTAGATTACTGTTCGGAAAGGCTTAGAAATAAAGAAGAAACAAAAAAAAAAAAAAAATGATTTGTCACTAAA